CCTGTAGATGGAATCAATTTGTTTATATTATTAAGTGAAGTTTTTTCTGTTAGCGGTGTTTTTGTGTTGACCTGAGTTTTTTGCGACCAGATAATTTCACAAACTTTATCCTTCACTTATACTGATGTACTCTTATTTAACAGTGCTTCTTTAGATCTTTTACGTTTTCGTTTCTTCTGTCCTCCCTCTATTCCCTGGTTAAAGTGTCACATAGAGTCCCTGTTCAGACTGATAGATTTTTGTATCGGATTTTATGGTGTTCCTATAGGGTGTATCGATATGTATAGGACCCATACTTGGGATTTAAGCTTAATTTTCATGTATCCATTGTCCGTTCATCCGGGAGCGCTCTTATTGGTCCAATTATAATTTGAAAATTATGACATTTTATCGGTCCGTCAAGTTTTATGGTTGCTCTATATATCCTTCCTTAAGTTATTTGCTATCGATCTCAATAGGGGAAATGTAGAAGTTATGGTGTAACTACCTATAGATAATTTTCTATAAATTTTCTATCGGGCCGTATTCGGAAAAAGCATGGACAAATTCACATAAGAAATCGTTAGCGCCCGATAGATTATTTTTATGGGTCTCTATGGGGTATTTTAAGCAGGGTTTCCCATTCCATTTCGCTACCAGTACGTTCATCACCAAAGTCACTTATAGTTTAGATCAACCTTAAGTTAAAACTCAAAGAACTCTTAGAAACACGACTGCACTCTATGATGATAAATCAATGACTGTTGGATCATTCATTTAAAATCTAAAAATAATTTGGATAGTTTGCTCCAACGTGGCTTTTTGACATTTTCTTTGTCATATGTCATCTGTCACCTGCTATCTGTCAACTTGACACATGTCAAAGTGTTGCTTGATATAAGAAAACAATAAATATTGTGAATTATTGTGTAGGAATTTTTTTTAATCTCGAAAACAAAAGAAAATCGCATAACAACATTTAAGTTTTTTTTATTGTTTTTATATGTATAATACACCCTTGAAATATTTCCCTTTTCTCCCGACTTACGCTGTATTTAACCAGACATATTTATAAAAAAATGTATATGTCCCGAAAATACATTATCTTAAAACGTTTAGAGGGCTGTAGGTCCCTTAGGGGACATTTGCGGACCTATGTTCAATGAACGTTGTTCAAGTTGTTTTCCCATTTTTGGCCCTAAAAACCTCTTGTAGAATATTGCACACTATTTTCGAGTTGGAAATAATTATTTTCATTAATAGTTTTATAATTAACAAAAGACAGACAAAATAAAAAATATTTATACATTGTGTCCCCTATCTAGTTGGCAATAGAAAAATCTTTTTATTGTGCGTATTCTTCATAAAAGCTCCTGCCTGTTTATAAAATCAGATTCTCATAAATAAAATGGAATAAAAAAAACAGGGTGCTCAAATATTCAGAAAAGATAAAAATTCTTAAAGAAAGGACCCGTGTATTTTTTGTGATCTAAATTAAGACTTTTCAGAAAACAAGACAAAATTAGGGTTAAACTGGCAGATAGATAACCTCAATTATTTGTATTCAAATGTAAGGTGGGACTTTAAGTGTGAAGCATTCGGACTGTGAAATGGACCGCCCATTTCACAGAAAAAAATGCTTGGTAGATACTACTTAAAATAATAATAATCTGGAAAATCAGGTTTTAGACACTAGGTAAAAAAATAATTTTTTTACTCCCATTACGGAATATGACCGTTCTAATATCACGTTTTAATGTGGAATTCCCTATATTCCTTAAAGTGTTACAGAATGAGTTATTCTATGATCGGATGACGGAATAAAAACTGGTGGCGCCATCTCTGTGTTTAGTATCTAAAAACTTTTAGACAGATCCAACCTCACGTTCCTATTAAATTTATGGTATTTTATGGAAACCTAGGAAAAGTATAGTCTGAAACACGTTTGGAATTGCATATTCCTTTTCACTCGAGTGCAATATGCAGTATTCCAAACTTGTTACCTAGTGGGAATATACCCCCTCGCTTGTTACAGAATATACTATCCTTATTTTAGATAATTATGGCTGGCACGCTTAGGTCCCTTTTCTCGGAATGCGTCACATAATATGTATAAATATTTATTAAATAATTTTTTTCAATTCACCTCCAACGTCGATGCTCTGTATTTTAATAACTTATAATATTTATTATAATGATTTATGTCAGTGATAGGCCGTTTTTAGGCAATACATTTTTTACTGCCATTACGGAATAAGACTGTTCTAACATCACTGTTTAATGTGCAATTACAAATATTCCTTAAGGTGTTACAGAATGAATTATTCTATCATCGGATGACGGAATACACACTGGTGGCGCCATCTCTGTGTTTATTATCTAAGAACTTCTAGACTGATCCAACCTTACTTTCTCCCAATTAAATTATTTTTCTATGGTACTTTTTTCGGAAATGTACAAAAAGTATAGTTTGAAACACGTTTGGAATTGTATATTCCGCTTCCATGAAACTTTTCACTCTAGCGGAATATGCCGTATTCCAAACTTGTCCCCTCGCTTGTTACAGAATATTTTATTCTTATTTTAGATAATTATGGCTGGGACGCTTAGGAGTGCGTCACATAATATGTATAAATAATTTTTTCTACTCCCATTTAAAACGCCCATTGTCGTACATGTTTCCATGACACTAAGTGACTTATTAAATGTTCACATTGGTAAGTTGTGGCTTTATGGCGTTTTAGTGACGGTCTGAAGTAAGCAACAGGTTTTTTTTAGTCACGGGCTGAATTTAGTTTTAAGTTAGTTGACAGTTCTCAAATGTTTCGCCATCAAACTACATTAACTTAATTTCTGATGACTTCACTGTGCCAATAAAAAATTTTTTTTACTTTCACTGTAAAAAAATCTTTCTAGATCCGATTAAACGATCCATTTTCAAGGAATACATTTTGATTTACACGTAAAAATTTGACATTTGACATAATACCCATTTTCAAGTTGGTAATTATATTGTTTCATAAATGTCGCTCTATACAAATTTTCAATTTAGATCATTTTTAGATAATAATCTAATGTTTGTCGTAGAAAAAGTATGGTATGCAACTCGTTTATAAACTTTCCTATTCACTCATTTAATTAAGCACTCGCTCGCAAGATCGCTCGTGCCTAAATTAAATTCGTGTCTAAAATGGCTTTGAATAACTTATAATAAATTATAATTATAATAATTATTATAGTGATTTATGTCAGTGATAAGCCGGAAAATGCCGTATTCCAAACTTGTTACAGAATATACTATTCTGGGATTCGTGACGTTTTCTCTCATTCTAATTCTTGTACGCTTTTTTAAAAATAAAACTGTACATAGTAAGAAAAAAATACAGAATATTATAATAAATTATAATTATAATAATTATTATAGTGATTTATGTCAGTGATAAGCCGGAAAATGCCGTATTCCAAACTTGTTACAGAATATACTATTCTGGGATTCGTGACGTTTTCTCTCATTCTAATTCTTGTACGCTTTTTTAAAAATAAAACTGTACACAGTAAGAAAAAAATACAGAATATTACGTTGGCCACAGAATAGCCAACGTTTTATTCTGTAAAATATTTACGTTTTATTCTGTAAACTCAATAACCGTAATAATTTATGCGTTTATTTAAAACACCATATTTTTTGTGGAAATATTACATATTTTTATCCGTAATTTTACCATAATTTCTTACTGTGTACGTCACACTCGTCTATAGACGTCTATATACGGGTGTTTTGTGGATCAATGTTTAATTAAAATTTTCTGGTTTGTGTCGCAAGGTATTCCAGTCTTTCTTGTGTGGGTAAGAGATTAATTGGATGGTTTAAATGAGGAGTTGAGAATGCTGAATTTTGGTAATTTTCCTTAGGCTTGTGCATTTGCCTATCTTGTTGTTGGAGGTGGGTTTTTGCAATTACATATCAGGACTAGGCGATAGATGAGTCTATTAATATTCTCAGCAGTACTAATATCCACCCCCTGTTCTCCTTTAAATTTAAAAGTTTAAAACCTTAAGTGCAATCACTAAAATTTGAAAATTATGAAGAACATCCAAAAACGCACATTAGAGTAGGTCTGCTTTTTCCAAAATTAATTTTGTAATAGCAAAAATTTTCGCAAAACTGAAAGTAAAAAAATATTTTTTGGTAGTAATTTTTATATAAATTTTGTTACTAAATTTTGAAATATTTTACAAAAAAGGTCCTTATTAATTATCGCATAAATATTGTGGTTTCAAAATAACTTGGATAATTGCGAGTTTTTCTTAAAATTTCCATTGGTGAGCCTAAGATGTCAACCAAAAATGTTTCCCTTTGCACTTTTATTTTTTGGCCTCAAAGATTAATATTTTTGCTATTACCAAATCAATTAAAAAAAATCGGAATTTTTTTAAGGATTTGTAATTTTTAACGGAGAAATTGTTTGAAACAATTGTAATCATGCTGTTTGGTGAGGGCATGTTATATTATATATTTATATTATATATTATTATTATATATATTATATTAAATAATATCTAGAAAGAAATACGCATATAATATTTTAGGGTCTTTCCATCTCAAATCGTCCATGCAAAGGGGTCGTTATTTAACAAAGAGTTTTTTTTTACAGTTTCTCCACCGAAATCGTTAAGACTTTTTGCTTTGATTCTTTCCGCCTTTTTTAGAAAAAAAACTTTTTGTGAATTCACTTAATTTTTTATATATTTTTTGTATGTAGTAATTTTTGGACAAGTTTTCGAATTTTCAATAAAAAATGTCACTCGTAAAAAGAGAAAAATCGATGTTTCTGTCCATTTTTCAAAAATTTCCTACGGATGAACAAAACAAATTTAAGCAAATAGAAAAAATACGGGTTTCATCGATTTTGGGTAGAGATACTGTACAAAAAAATTCGGTAAAAAATAACGACCTACCCCTTTTTGCCTGGTCGATTTGAGATGGATTTGGAATATCATGCATTTTCTCCATTTTATAGAGTCTTCTTGCTGACATAAATAACATAGTTGATAAATCATCACATTGGGGGAAGGAGGAAAGAAACCAATTAGAAAGCCAACTACTGATAGCAAATAAACCAAATTTATGCCTAGACCCGGACAATGTAGTTAGTTCTAAAGTATATCAAATTAATAGATGTAAACAAATGTGGAATACGCACAGGTAAACAAAAAATAAACCTAAAATCGTTGCAGTTAATTTAAACAATTTCATTTGTTTTAGATTTAGAAGGACGGCGCGAAAATTCTCGCAAGATTCTGTCTACAGAAAACGAAAATTGGATCAGTTGACCCACAAGCCGGGTGTGGAGTTGTTGGACTTTTTGAACAGCCGCGCTAAAACTTCGACAGTTAAGCAGCAGCGGCCTCTAGGCGAGATCGGTCCGGTGCGGGTACCAAACCTCGAGTGTCCGACGATTGCGTCGCCTGCGACCGCGGTGACGATCAACGAGTTCAAAATGTACCCGCGCGTCAAGGAGACCGACGACTGCCTGCCGCAACCGATCGAGGAGTACACGCTCGAAACCGACATGCCGGCCAAGGAGGAGAACGGAAAACCGCGGGTTTATCACATCAAGTTGTCGATTTTGCAGCGGCCATCGAACTCGGAGTATTTGGGCGAGTTGTATTTGGACAGGGATCACAAAAAAAACGAGCGGAACGGGGTTGCGTGCCGCTTTAGTTTGGGGTCGAGAAACAATGCGAACCGGTACATACATCAGTTTACGGATATTTTCACGGAAAGTGGTAGGAAGTCGGTGAGGATACGGTATACGTTAGGGCCTCATAAGGAGCGGCAATTGCAACAGGTACGTTCTAAATTTTTACATTTTATTTTGGGTCCAAAGATCCATTACTTATGAGTATTGCGGGTGCAACACTGACGCTGCGTTTTTTCGAGATAATAAAGTGTTTGTTCGTAAGTAATATCATAAGGGCATAAAATTTTTCACGTTGCTAAGTAATATTTTAAAAAGAAGCATGAGTGCTGGTGGCAACAATGCATTTTGTTAAAAAATATTACTTAGCATTGTGTTTTTTCGATTTTTTTCACATAAAAAAATTAGATGCCCGAATGGTATTTGACAAGACTATTTCATGAGTAACAGTTATTCTGCATACACATAGGTTACAAAACATACTACCTATTATACATGCATACATAATAAATATGTAGGGTATTAATTTGAAAACTGAAAAACAGCTGGTTTATTTAATCACAAAATACTTAATTATTTATGGTACAATTAAAATATAAATTGCAATTTTGGTGACAACAGCTGTCAAGTTTTGCCGCAGGCACGGTCTTATATACAGGTCCTGCAACTTCGCCCAATTTCAATAGGAAAAGTGACCTCTCTAATGAGACACCCACCAGATGGCGCATCGAGTTGGGTGGTAAACCATATATGTTTAAAGGTCGTTTTTACCTTCTTTATCTTTGGGTTTTACAATCGTTAGATAAGCTCTCTGGTGGATAATTTTCTTGGATATAAGGTTTCTATGAAAGTTATCCGCCAAATAAGCTAACTTAATCTAACGATTGTAAAACTGGCTCTAAGTCCTTAAAGTCTATGGGATAAAAGTCAAATGAACTACCTACTTATGTTCACAGCTGTGTTAAGAAACATAACCTACATTTTTATAAACAAGCTTGTGTGTTTTGTTACAGGGAGTTTTTACTTATTGTTATTGTGATATTCGTTATTGTTATATATTGTTCTATTTTTTCTTGTTATATTTGTTCTTGTTATATTTGTTCTTGTTATACCTATTTGTTCTTGTTATATTTGTTCTTGTTATATTTGTTTTTGTTATATTTGTTCTTGTTATACATTTGTATTTGTGCTTTTTAATAGACATGAAGTCCTGTGTTGTGCCAAAATGTAACCAGCAAAGCCATCGTTCCGGCATTAAAATTAAGCGGTCCATGTTTAAAGTGCCAACAAATAAGGAGCAGTTAAAAACATGGCAATGTGCAATAAAAAACATACTATTGAAACCTTCACATTTTGTATGATTAATTTATAATTAAGCACATCGTGTTGGTGAAATATATATTATTTTAAATAAACAATCAACCCATCCCCGCCAAGACAATAAAAAAATCGGTTATTAATAAATTAGCCAGAATATTGGTTGGTTAGTTTGTAAACTATCTAAAGCTTGGCTATGTTGTGTTACTAGAAATTTTGGTTTTCATATTAGCCAAATTGAATTGGATAGTTTACAAATTATCCAGCTATTCCTAAATAATTTCAAGTAAATTAGCCAAGACCCTTGGTTGGTTTACAAACTAGCCGCTAATTTAGTTAAAAATACGTTTTCAATTAAAATAGCTGACAGTTTGGCTAGTTTATAAACTACCCAGCTACTTTATAAACTATTCATGTTTACACATTAGCCGTAACATATATATGATATACGTATGTATTTTATACATTAACATGTTTTACTTATGTACATGTTTGGTCTGGGCATGTGACGGCCGAGGACTTTGTGCATAGAGTATAGACTTTGTTGTCCTATTTTGTTAACGTAAATTATCCGAAACAAATTCACAAATATTAAATTTTTGAAAATGTAAACAAAACATAGAAAAAGAATTTAAAGTTAGGTTATGGTTACGCAGTAGTTCCACATTTAACTAAGTAGTAGTTTAATTGACTTTACCCCTTCGATCTTAGCGCCACCTAGCGGCTTGGCACGTTAAGGAAGCCACCTCGAAGCTTAAAGTTGCAGGACCTGTATATAAGACCGTGGCCGCAGGTAAACTCGAAAAAACTGCTGACAGGTGCATACAGTTTGTGATTGGTGGAAATTAAGACGAGGGAAATAGTCAGATATATCAAGATACATTAGTATAAAAATTAGATATTTAACTCAAACAAAATGTCAATCAAAACTTTACTTTTGAAACATTACGCTTTGTAAATAAGAGAATTTAATTAAAATGTTTATAAATTAATTAATGCTTGACCTTCTTTATCATTATAAAAAAAAAAATAATAAAAGGGTCTCAAACGTTGTATAAAGAATATTACATTATATTGCTTAAATTTTAAAGAACAAATAAAACAAATAATTTTAGCAAAGTTAACCTATAAACTGAAATTTTCAAAAACGTAAAAAATAAAAATAAGTTATTTATTTATTTTGAACAATAGATAGTTTTTCTGTACAAATCTCAGACAGAGATCTCTGTTTGTATACCCTTTAATAAGTTTATGTATTATACCATTGTTTTTAGTGGTTGAAACTTTCAAAAATAAACGGATTTGTACAGAAAAACTATCTATTGTTCAAAATAAATAAATAACAACTTATTTTTATTTTCTACGTTCTAGGCATTCATTCATCACAACATTGAATGTAGTCTGTACTTCCCACAAATCTTTAATTCACTGTAAAGTGCTTTGAAATTCAAATTCAAAGTTTGAATACAGTCAATATGTTTTCCTTTCCAGTGCTTGGTCGCTAAACTGGTCAGGAAATTAATATACAAGGGCCTAGTGATAAGTCTGGTAAAATTCAAATAGGGGCGTTACAATCGCAAATTCTATATAGTATTTATTTCCCTGCTGTTAAAATGTCTGCTTCTTCAGCATTGGAGTTAAAACTGGTTTGCATTCTAAAAAACTAAAGTATTCTAAAACACGCATACGCTTTCTGGTCTGATTAAATAAAATTTTGTTCTTGTCCATCTTCAATAAAAATGTCCTTTGTCTTTGCACCAGGTGGAAGATCTGTCAAAATCCATGTTTGATTATTTTTAATGAGGCAATTGCTATATCCATCTTTCCACAGCTGCCCTATTAAAAATGCCCTATACAGGGTGTCCTGAAATTAGTGCACCATACTTTAACAGCAGATTGTACGTGCAAAAATAAGAAAAAAAGTCCCTATAAACATAGGTCATGAAATGCCTCTTAAGGGAGTTACAGCCACCAAAAGGAAAGCCCCTGAAGATGGTTTTTATTTAATATCTCCAAAACCAATAAAGATATAAAAGTGAAATTTGGGGAATTAATTAAACTTTTTATGACCAATAAGACGTTAAAATAACAATTTAAAAAATTTCATGAGGTGTGGGTTAGATTGATAGGAAGTGGGGTTAAAACCACCTTAACTTTTTTGTACGCCTCTTGTACCAGAATTTGATGTCAGATTATGAAATTTTGAAGTTTTGTACATAAAAAAGGTCGCCCTGTTGAACTTCAGTAACTTACACGGTTTTCGCTTAAAATCGATTTGAAAATTATTTTACATGGCATAAAAATTCACAATTAAATCACAACCATAGACATGGACTCGCGTGGTCCTTGGAATACGGCTGCCATGTTTAAAAAAAAATAGAATAATTTCAGACAGGTGACAGTTTCATGTAGTAAGTGACAGGGTTTTTCTACTTTTTTATAAATATTAGATAAAACCATATTCAGGGGCTCCCTTTTCGGGGACTGTAGCTCCCTTAGGAGGCATTTCTCGAACTATATTTATAGGGACTTTTTTCTTATTTTTGCACGTAGAATCTGCTGTTAAAGTATGGTGCACTAATTTCGGAACACCCTGTAGAACCCATATTGATCCAGATAAGGAAACTAATATGGATTTATATGGTTCTATATGTCCTATATGGAACGACCTGGTTTACACTTTGGAATCTATATGGTTTAATATGGAATTTCATTTTAAAATGTACAACTTAGGGATTTTTATATGGATTTATCTGGTTTCTGTTTTATGTGTCTTTCCATATAGGTTTCCCTATATGGTTGAATATGGAATTCCATTTTAAAATGTATATATATTTAAACGAAAATTGCATATTAAACCATATAGATTCCCCTATATGGTTAAATATGGATCTATATGGTAATAATTTTTTCACACCCAAACCATATTGGGCCAGATAGAGCAATATGAACCTATATGGCAATCCATATAGAAATCACTTTTCTTTATGGTTTTCCAGGTATGGAATTCTATCTGGTTCAATAGTGCAATGCCTGTTTCAAATTCCTATATTGAACCAGATAGGTTTTTATTTTGTGTTTCTATATGGCATTTTTAATAGGGTGAATCCTGGCTTCTTAAGGCATCTTTAAAGGTTTTTGGATATCTTCCTTTACTTAATAATAATAATAATAATAATAATGGGTCTTTATTTTCCCAGTTAGTACATACAAGTTATATATAATTATAAAAACAAAAAATTAAATTCCTATAATACAAATTTAAAAAGAAAAATGCCGAAGATCAGTATTGAGTACAAAAGTGTCCTCCTCCATTGCCATGATGTTTTCTTTAAAATGTTTGGCCTTTTTAAGGTCGATCAAATTTCTTGGGTATGGCTCTTGCAATTTTTGTTAAAAATCAATCTAGTATTGATCACTGACTCTTCTTCTTTATTCTGTGGTTTAATTTCAATCTGATGTTGATTTTCATTAACTGCTTTCCCATTCTTTAATTATTTCTTGAAATTGAACATCTCTTGATGGAATTACTTTTTAAATGTTCGGAATGTAAATTCTGTATTCTCGCCATATCCCATTAAAAATCCTTTCACAGCTTATGTGTTATGTGTGAAGATCCAAATATTTGATTGATTGATTGATTTTTTTTATTTGGTCAATTCCACAACCCTGAGATGTGTAGAGATGTGACTTAAAAATAAAACAATCCATTTTTTGTTTTTTTTCAGGCTTTTCTTAACTGGTTTTTTAATTATTGAAATTATCTCTACATTTATAAAATATTTCATGCGATTTTTTTTAATTTAATGTATAGCCTAATAATAGAAGAATATATTTGACAATTTTGATGCAAAAATAATATATAATAAATTACCTACAATTTTTTTTATAAAAACAGTTTTGTGATTTGTCCCGTCCATCCGCTTGAAATGGCCGAGTTCTATTTGCCCATTTTTTTAAGTTTACAGTCCAGTTCATAGACTAAAATTTAGCCACTAAATCACATATATCACTAAATATTTAGTAAATATAAATAGTCACGTGTTATGCACGCGCCACCACCACCGAATTAAACAATAAGGGCCGCGCTCTCCACCTGCGGCGATAACGCGTCAGGGTTGTTTTGATTTGGCTTAATAAAAAAGTAACTACCTATACAGACTTCAAGTTTTACATTGTTATTGGTTTCTTATGTGGAAACTACCAGTCAAAATTTTTAATAGTGGAAAATGTAGAGATGGGAAAATTCCCATTTGACGAAAATTCCCGGAAACTTTCCATCGAAAATTCCCGAAATTTTCCGAAAGTTTCAAAAAAAAAATTTTTATTGCGAAAATATTTTTTTATGCCAGGGACTTGCAAAAATATATAACACATTAACTTTTTGTCAAATTTTTGGTTGCATTAACGACATAGATTTTCTTACAGAACTTGCTTTGAGCATGATCTTTTTTGTTATTTTGCACTATTTTGTAATAATTCCAAACACTAGATTTTTCTCTTAGCATTGTGCTATGCCTATAAATAAACAACAAAAATGTAAGAATGATTTTAACTTTTTTTATTGTATTTATTTTGTTTACCTTTTTTTAAAAAAGTTTTTTGTGTTGATGCTGAATAATCCGGCTTCATTGAGGTTATGTAACATAACTTACATTATTTATACTTCTGCTTCTGCTTTAAATTAACACAAATGAAATTCTTATTCAAAGTTTCTTGGCCTTGTATCATGGCCTTAACGAAAATCAGCGGTTAAACAATTGACATTTAAATGAAAAACACAAGGAAAGTTTCCAAGGAATGTTTCCAAGGAATGTTTCCGGTAGCTTAAAAGAAACTTTCAAAATAAAAATAAATTCCCAATTGGAAACTTTCCAAAACGGAAAGTTTCCTTAAAATGGAAACTTTCCCATCTCTAGGAAAATGTAATATATTCCAAATTTCACTTTATTATTGATATACATTTTGCTCAAAATTTCATTTTGAAAAAATACTTATTTTGAAAAAATACTCATTTTTTAGGATTCATGTTATTTATTGACAGAATAGGTTGTATTGTAGGGGATTTGAAAAAAATAAGAAAAAAAACTAGTTTTTTTCTAATCTGAAAAAACCGTTTTTTTAACATATCTATACATATGCCAAAATCCATTATTAACGCTATGAATTACTTCCACATCCAGAAATGGCTTGATGGAAAAATAGTCAGCTCTAATAGGGAGGTAAACGATAAAACAAACGCCTCCGCCCTCGTATATTAAAAAAGTGAGGGTCCAGAATTGAAAACTCCATCATTAAATGTAAAAAAATTGCATAATTTACTGTTAAGAGAGAACAAGTGAAAGGTTTAGAAAGCAGATATGAACCTGCTGGCCAATGCACTTTTTAATTATAAACAGTTTTTTTCAAAGGCCAAGTCATAAGGGCGACCGAAGTTTCCCAAAGACACGGATACAAAGTACTCCAGGAAAAATTTTCGATAATTTTGTCATTACACGTATAGATTTATAATAAATATTAATTGTTATGAGCCAAACTCGCTTTTCTAACATTATTTTTTATAGTTACAGTCTCAAAATACAGTGCCTGCAAACCTAGTGCAGCAACAGCTCACCCAACTGAGCCAAAGTCTTCAAAACCAAACGTCAGTGGCAAATGGTATCAGTTTGGTCCAGCATAGTGTTGGCCAAAGCACCAGTAGCAGTAGTAGCAGTATTCCTATTTTGGTAATAACTGCAAAAATATTGTTTTTTTTTTAATGAATATATCGTTTTTTTTTAATTTAGCAAAGTCAACTACAAGGCGCCAACCAAATAAAAGCTTCTCCCCAGCAGCTGTCTAGTCAAAAATCGGAAATTAACGCCTTGGCCATTGAGCTTATGAATTCTGTTGAACAATTTCAAGCGCAAGCTGGTAAGCAAATTTCATAATTTTATAGCTTAACAAATATTATTTGTCAAATGACCAATCATTTATATTGGATTTTCCCAAAAAGGGCGAACTTAATCCATGCTAAGTAATGAAAGTTATTTCGATTATGCAGCTCTTAGATGTGTGAAATATTGGCTTATAAAAACACTTTTTGGATTTTTTTCAAACCAAACAGCGTTAATGCGCCATTTTCGGGACACACTGTATAAGCTTGGATTCTAAAATTTATATTTCAATAAGCATTACCATTTGCACCGCAAGAAATACCGTCTTACAATTAAATAATTAATTATATATATTTAAAAATTTGTTTAGGGACTTAAACTGGGAGAAAACCATCTCTAACCTATAAGTCTAACAAACTTTTTATTCTACCAATAAATTTAAAATCGATTTTAATTATTTTTTTGTCTCACACTCTTGGAATTAAGATATTATACGCTAAAAAAAATTAACAAAGCAAGCTATTGTTACACTTGTTGAATATTGAAAATATTGTTGCACTAGTGGGTAGGAGTGTCAATCCCGTAAAAAATTCGATCCCGAAAATCCCGGGATTAAAAGTCCCAATCCCGGGATCTTAGTTACAAAAAATAAAATAGACTTTTTTAAGCGTATGACATTTTTTATATTATAATACTCATAAGCATATATATAAACACTTAATTTTTTAACCCAGTTCAAGTCAAATTATTATACACCGCCGTACAATAATGAAAATACATTGAAATTACATAGCAAGAGTGGTTCCATTTATAGCATAAAATCAGCAAAGAAAATGTAAAATTACAGGTCACTGTAGAATAAATTTATGTACATAACCTATAATATAACATATTTCAAACGTCAAACCTGAAAAAATTACACAAACTACTTGATAATTTCAATGTAAGTTACAGCCCCAATTGGAACTCACCAAGGCCCGATTGATAAAGGAAATTGAATTATTTATTAATGGGGGTAAACGGGGATACAATGTGCCTACGAATTCTTGAAAACCATTCTTCCGACTAGTGTGAAGTCCGAAAGATATCGTTCGTTAGTTTGTTTGTTGTTTTATTTTAAATTGGTTTTAAAATTAATAATATATATTTTTTCTGGACTGATCCCGGGATCCCGGGATTAGTTACCTTTGGTCCCGAAAGGCCTGGGATTGGAAAATGGGCTCGGGATTGACACCCCTACTAGTGGGGAAAAAAAAGAATAAAAAAGAGATTAATTGTGGACAATAAATAACAGCTATGTTTTACATACATGTGATACATATTTACTTAAATATGATTTTTAACATTGTTCTCTGTCCAGTCAAACCGTCGTTTGACCTTGCGTGCTGAGGCACTGTCTAGTTTTTTTATGAATTGATAGGGGTTATTTAAAAAGCATAAAACCAAATTGGCACCAACTGACAATTTTTATAGATATACGCAAAAATACATGTGTTTTGTTTATTCAAATAAGTAAAAAATATACATAGTTTGTTAAATTAAAAATGTTCTTTTTTTTACTCGCAAAAATGGAAAATTCATTAATATACAGGAAAAACAAAAAGTTTATTCAATGGATCACTCTATACATAAATTTATTTTTCGATTCCTTATAAAGTTCTGAGTATATTATATAATTCATATAACAAACCATATACCATGTCGCCCCCTTTAACTTTTTTATATTAAGTGTCCCAAAAAATTTAAAAGTCTGGTTATGTAGGTAATAAAAAATACTTTTTTTCTACGTATAAAGAAAATTGGAAAATTGATCAGTATACAGGGAAAAACAAAAAGTTTATTTTTTTTCAATTGATCACCCTATATATGTATTTATTTTTCGATTCCTTGTAAAATTCTAAGCATATTTCATATAACATACCATATACCTAAATTCAACCGTTTCTGAAATATTTAAATTATTTAAGATATTAAGTTAAAATAGTTTGTCTTTCTCTGTCTGAGTACGCCATTTTTACTTATTTAACAAGACATATTGACATAATGTCACTATAGTAATTTATTTTCAATAAAAATTTTGGTATACTAAGGCTTCTTGATTTCTAACAGTTTAAAACAAAATTTAATGAAAACATTTCGAATGCGAATATTTCAGAATCGGTTGGATTTAGGTATATGGTTTGTTATATGAATTATGCTCAAAATTTTACAAGGAATCGAAGAATAAATTTCCCTGTATATTAATCAATTTTTCATTTTTTTTATACGTAGAAAAAAAGTATTTTTTATTACCTACACACTTTTAAATTTTTTGGGACACTTAAAATAAAAAAGTTAAAGGGGGCGACATTACAGTTGATCCTGTAACATTTACAATAAATTGTTAATTGTTTAATGTTTTAATCATATTTCAACACATATACGAAAAAATAACTAGCAACGCTTTGTGAAGAAGAAAGTAACAAAAAATATCTAGATTATTTTTTATTAAAGCTATTCTCGTGGACTAATCGTGAAAATCAAATCCGATCTCGCTAATTTACCACCTACAGAATCGGCGACTGAACACCATTGTTTTTGAACATTTCATTCGGTGCAGGCATGGTTGGCGAATGTTTTATAATATAAAAAATAGTTAGTAAGAATGAAAAATTTGTTTTCTAATACATATTATGTACAATTGCCTCTGTAAGAAACAACGTTTAATCTGTATAAACAGCACAAACCGAAAGAACAAGAATGGTAAACAACATAAAAATGGCCGCCGTTAGATTCTGTGCAGTGTTGCAGTGATTTTTAGTATTCGCGAAACGAGATAGAACAGACCTTGTTGTGTGGATTGTGGACCAATTATAATTGGTCTTAAGAACACGTAAGTTGTGCGATTTAGTAGGCAGGTTCGGTCAATTCCTACTATTGAGTTTGTACTTGTGTAGTCTCAATTTTAATAGCTGTCATTTTTACAGATGTCATTTTGACAGCCGTCAAAATAAAAGAAATTTTACTTTTCAAAGGAAAGAAAAAAAATCACATTATAACGTGTATAACGCTGCAGGTCCAAACACGTTGCTGCGCAACCTAAAAACAAGCATAACTTGTCATGAAAATCTTCGTTATTAATCTATAATCTATTAAAATCCGTCGAAATAAACTTAAAGAAGTTACAAAAAAATTCATTTGTTTTTAATAATTGTTGCTAATTTTAACAATTTTCTTTCAAAATTGTTACTATTTTTATCTACTCTTATATTGAAGAACTATGGCTTTATGGGGCGCGTTCGAAAACTCGCAAGAGTGCACTTTGGATACACTCCAAGTTTACCTTGCGCGTTCGAATTCTCTGGTATATACCTAGATATATGCAACTGTCAGCTGTTCGAAAACAGCAAGTATATGCCCAGAGTGCACTCTCGGTTGTCCAAGCTTTAGACTTGGTTAAGTTTTACCCGTCATGCGCATAGGGGACATCAAACAATAATTTGTATTTAAATTCATATTATTTATTTATAACTGTTTAAAATTCAATAAAACAAAAACGAAAAACATTAAAATAAAAGAATTTATTATAATAAATAATTTAAAAAATATTAATTCTAAAAAACAAAACAAAATCCATCACAAAAACTTGAATAATCCATATAACTAAAGGGTTGAAATTCAATAATTTAATATTTATATGTATTCAGTAAAATAACAAGCAAAACCAATTGATTTTAGAACACTACAACATAAAGTTTATAGGTATATGCTCCGCGGCGTTCGAAAATAACAAGGAGGTTAGGTATAATGTAAAGTCACGTGATTATATACCTATCCTTATACCATATCCAAAGTACACTCTAATTTCGAACGCACTCATGGTGTTAACTTTATTATTAATTGCAAAAAAGTGAGGTTAAATTCGTCAAATGTCAAATATTTATTAATTAAAATTGAATATAAAGTATAGTATGCAACTCGTTTTATAAACTTATCTAGACACTCGTTATTATTAAACACTTGCTTGCAAGCTTAATATACTATTACCTTCAATTGTTCCATAATTTAAGCTTTATTATTGTCAACTCTTCCAAAGTATTCGATTATATCCTAGACCAATTGGGTAAAGTTTTTTACATCCAAAGTCTGTAAGAAACCCTTTAGGACCAATGAAAAAATTCTATAACTGTTGAGAGATCTGAAGCAATCTAACCTCAATTTATACTTTTAGTATATTTAACAAATGAAACTGTGCCTTGAAGATAAAATGTTGTATGCCATTCGGCTGAGAAGTGTATTTTTGTGCTTCCTCAATTGTAAGCCTTCGCTGAAGCGTTGGCCTTCAAATTTTGAGCTCAGTACAAAAAGACTCATTTCTCAGCCTTATGGCATAAATAACTATTATTTTATAGCATAAAGTAGTCAGTAAATAATCAGCATAAATAATTGCACATATCAGCAGATAAAAATTAATTAGTTAACTATTAATCTCAAAGAAATTGAAAAATCGTAAAACCCTACTAGGATGTGATAATTTAGCAAACTATCAATTTTGAACTAATAATTACGACCTACCAAAAAACAGTGGCCCACTTGACAAGTTTTGACTTTATAATGATTTATGTTTATTTGATTGTGCGGCAAAATAATATGTGAAGATTAGTCGATTCTGAACTCGCATTCTTGCCACACTCGCCTCAAATGCTCGTTCAGAATGGACAATTTTCCCCACACGTTGCACATCATTGCTAGTATTTTGTTACACTTATTATTTGTGTTATATTTCTTTTTACAAAAATCTATTTTTTTATCTGAGCGAAAAATGATCCACGAACAAAGCTATTATATTAGGAATTAAAATATTATAATGTTGTGTCACGTAATGGCTAAAACATTATTTTTGTCTAGCTAAACAACAGCAAAAGAACATGGCGTCGACATCGAGCACCAACACTGCGATCATCAACCTGCTGAATAGTTCGCCGGCGAGCACCACAAATAGCGACACCAGCGCTGCGGTGGCAAACGCTATAAGCGGCGGCGCCACTGCTACCACAGTGTTGCCGCAACAGCTGCAGAACATCAACCAGAAGTTAATGGCGCGCAAGGTGACCATACCGGGAGCCAGGGTACTCAATCACGCTGGCAACTTGATCGCCATCAATAACAACAATAGCCGATTGAATTTGGCCGAATTAAACTCGCATACGGTAAGACAAATATATGATATGTTTTATGTTGCATACCATCATAATCTGGGCTGTAATTGTATTTTGTTTAGATTCGACAGCAGCCCCAAACGATAACGCTTACGTCAGTGAACAGTGGCGGCACATTCACGAACTACACGACGGTGCCAGTGAAACAGGTGCTCAATCAGAGATTAGTGAACGCAAACAGTGCTAGTGATAATAAGTCGACGCTTAGCGCGCTACTGGTTGGCACCCCTGCAGCCGACCATCCGGACATCGGCACGCCTAACACCAACTCGCTGCTCATCGAAAAACTTGCCGGGGCCACTGGGAACACGTCAACTTTTCAGGTAATTTTTATTTAGAAATAATAATGGGCCGATACAGATGAGCCGAGACTTTGCATATTTTCAGCTTTTATACAAGAATCTAATTGAAAATCTTTTATAACTTTTTGATTTAACTCAGGATTTTAAAACAAATTTATTATTTTAGATAAAGCAAGTTTTTCCAGATTAAAATACTTAGTAATAAAGAATATCAAGCGTTATATGTATGATTTTATATTGTTTGTAGTTTGTGGCTAGGGTTTTAAAATTTTCTGAAAAATTGAGCAGGCGGAAAAAACCGTTTTTTCCAGAAAAAATTGTGAAATTTTCAGAAAAATTGACTTTTTCATTTTTTAAATTTTATTCAAAGGGTAATACGAAAAAATAGTATTTTTAAAATACAAATGTTCATTTTTCTGAAAATTTACAAATTTTTACGGATAGTATTTAGAGAAAAAAGTGAATTTCCGACGCTGATTATAATCATATATTTTGATTATAATTATTCCTTTTATTTTAATTCAGTAAGAATATTCTAACGTCGCAAAAAAATATATTCGATGCTGTATTAACATAACTTTTATTTATCACTTCGATTTAAAAAAATTATAATTTTTGTAATTTAACTTTATAAATCATTCATTATTTTGTAGTTAGTTATTTTTAATGGACTCCTTTTTCAACAAAAAAACCCGACAGACAGTTTCTTAAATTTAATTTTTATTTTATTTTTTTTTATAATAAAGGTTTTTTTTATTTAAAATAATGTTAAGTTGTTGATTGTTACTTTTTTCAAATGTGTATATTTTCCAAAAAAGTTGAATTTCCCCCAAAAAAGCCAATTTTTCTAAGGCCTGGAAAAAAACCCGGAAAATAACAGGTTTTTTCCAAATTTTTCCGATACTTTAAAACTCTATTTGTGGTAGAGTTGTTATCCCTTATTGCTATTGTAGGGTACAACGACGCACTTTATCCAAAGTCCAAAAGGTGGACAACAGTTCATGGTGCAGTCTCCCAAAGGCCAACAGACAGTTCTTACGCCCCTATCAAGTCCTCCACCACAAAATACCAACACCATCAATGTTCAAAGCCTCAATTTTGCTCAACTTCAAAGTATTTCTGGGTTACAAAACGTTCAGGTAAGATTTTATATTTTGTATACCCATGTTGATCTGAAAACATGCCATTGTTAAAAAAAGTAATAAAATTGTTATAATTAATGTAATAAAAATGAAATCCAACTTTTATAGAAAAAAATGTGTAAATTTGTTAAAAAATTACACGTTATACATAGTGTCATAAAAAACATTAATTTAACTTTATAAGAACTTTATTCCTCTTTCTATATTTATTTTTTAAACTATACATAGTAATGATTGTTAATAATAAACATAAGAATAGAATATTTTTATCATATCACCAATTAATTTCTTGAGTCTTTTAAATGTAAAGAGATCCGTTTCTTGTCTCCAAATAGTGTTGATCAAGTCCTTTCTTTAAGAAACTTTCTTGACCCATTGCTGGTAATATTCATAAGAAAAAATTGAACCTACACCTACACCAATATATATTATATATTATATTACTGAGCAACAATCTCTCAACAGGCGCGGATGTCTCTTCAAAATTAAAGCCTTTGACTTGCGAAAAGCCTTTTACAGCAAGTCTTGCTTTGAAGCTTTTTACTCCTCTGCCCTTGTTTTTCTTTATTCTGAAGACCCATTTATTGTTTAGTGGTTTCTTCCCTTTGGGTAATTCGACAAGTTCCCACGTGTTATTCCTTTTAATGCACCAAGTTCCTTTCTCCATTCTTTTTTACCATCTTGGTATTCATTTCCCTCAATAGAGTAAGGTACATCATCCACAAAGCTCTCCACATTGAAGGCCAGCACCGCATAATCGTCCTTCAATTAAAAATATTGCCGGTTAGTGGGTAATTTTTTCGTTTCCTTTTAGTTCCGGAAACTGAATTATCGTTGGTTTTTCATTACTGAGTTATTATTCTTCTCTAAGATTCAGAGCAGAATCATCGCTCATAATATTTGTTCTTGTTTTCCCTCGTCGCACAGACGTTCCTATTAAAAATCTGACTTGACAAAAGTGCCTAACTTTTAGAATTTCAAACAACATAAATTTTGTCTTAATGTGATCTTAAATAATTGTGAACCTATGGAAAACAATAAAAATTAAAAAGAATAGTCAGATTCCTTTCCCAGGCTGCATTCTAATAGCATGGGAAAGGAATCTACGTTCTGCAACGCCATTTTGTCCAGGGGTCATGACAGTCAATTCGAACGTAATTCCATTTTCCTAAATAAAATGAGTTGATTGAACAGATTTTTTTCGATAAACTTGCTTTTTACCATTTAAGCATACAATTTGATGTATTGATAGACGTCTGATTTGCTTTTTATATTTAAACAAGCTTTAAAATGATCATCAATTAAGATCAGGACATGATTCTTTTAATCGTCATGACGTCACTATGGATCTATTCCAGAGGTCTGGTTACTCCAATACGTGGTTTATCATAATGCTGTTTTGTCTGTTTTTTTTAATGCAATTTCCTTAAATTTCATTTCTTCGTCTTTCGGTTTTAGCTTCAAAACGTCGTAGCTCATATGGTCCATATTATTAAGCTACAGTCCAATAGCAAGCCCATTGTGTGTTTTGGTGAATTAAAAGTTTACACATAAAGTTTTGTGTCACCACTGCGTGCAATCGATATTATTTTATCAATTCGCCCTTTATTATTTTCCCACCAACAGCAAATTATCCTCCAATCCAGTGACTGAAAGTTGTTTCTAATTTTAATTTCGATATTCTTACCATTTACAAAATTCTTTACAAATCTCCGACCTATTTAGCTTGCATAAAGGCTCCCGATTTAGCAACCTTGATCTTGATGGTTTTTTTTCAAAGCTCTCATATTTTAAAGTTGTACAGATTAGATTGATTTCTGTATTATGATTGGTCCCTTTTCCTGGAGCCCGTCACATATATTTTATTATTTTCAGAAAATAAGACGAAATTAATGTGATAATTACCCTCTTATATATGCCTACAAGACAATTACATCGATAATTGTCTACTAGGAATCGATAATTCCATTGTATCTACGTATCCATGGCAATTAATAAAAATAACGTCAGTTTTTATTTTAATGTGACAGTTATTTAAAATGTCACGTTTTGGTAAAGAATCATTTAAATCAATTAATGAATAATGTTAAATGAAGTTTTGTGTTGAAATTAAAATATTTGAAATTGTTATTCTTTGATTTAATTAGTTTATTCGTGTAATTATCTAAACAAATTACACTCGTGCATAAAAATAATCAGATAATTTTGCATTCAAGCATATTGCCTTTTAAAAAATGCATTCGGTCATTTTCATATTATGAAAATGAACTCATGCATTTTTTAAGCAATATGCTTTCAAGCAAAATTATCGATAATTTTTAAGCACTTGTGTAATTACCCCCGATAATTATATATAATATCGCGAATTTCGTTTGCTTCATACAGCGGAATGTCAGTGACTGATGAAGTTTTTAGACACTTCTTGCTTTGAACTTGTTGGTTGGGTATTAGCGGTTGTTCCTTCTTCAATTATTCTTTCAATTGTTTGCACTGATACACCAGTAGCACAACTCACTTTTGATTTCACAGCACTCAGATTCTCTTCCTCATTTTTATTATTTTTAAAATAATTAAAAACATGAGAAATAATTTTATTAACTTTATTATGTGTATTTTTCGTTTCCGCCATTACTTCTTCACTTGACAATATTGCTTCTTAGATTATTTCTGGTAATGTTTATTTAGGTATATTTCTATATACCTTTTAAAATTATACTGCTATATACTAAGTTTAAGATTATACTACTTTGTTAACTTTACTTTTCTAATTTAATATATTTTTTAAACTAGTTTATCAATCATTTTGCGATACGATGAAATTTGGGTACACTTTTTATACAATAAATTGAACAAGAACAAAAAAAAATTAAAAGTAAATATTAAATACGCGCCACTGCTTGACCAAACACTTGTTCAACTGAACTTGAAGGGCGGTACCATTACGAAATTACGTCATTTGAGCATAGGGCGTTTTTGCCAAGTTTTAACGCGCGGACTATAACTTTGTATTACAAATATTTTTTTTTTGTCTAAGACTAAATAAGACTTATTAATATCTTTAATCGAAAAAATGTAGGTTTGTGCTTGTTTAACACGTTTTTAGAAGGACTGTTTTGCGGAAATAATTTAATAACTTTTTTATTATAAATAAATATTTATTTTTTTTATTTTTAACTGTGCTAATAGTCGGATAGCCCAATCAGTTTTTCTACCCTGAATCCCCGGACGATTATAATGTTTTCTAAACGATTCGTCATGAAAACAACGGTGCCGGCTAAAATCCCGCGGAAAGCAATTATTATTAAATAATAATGGGACAACCTTTTTTTAATGTTAACCTTTTTGTCCAGGATCCTTAAAAAAATCATAAGAGTTTGCATATTTATGCATATTAAAATTACTTATGTGGAGTATACTAAATTGTATTGTCACCAGCATTAAAATTGTGCACAAAATTTCACCTCAATCGGATGCCAGAGAGTGCTTGAAAAATGAATAACAAATTTTGAACCGAAGAATTTTAAATTTTGCAAAAAATATTATAAATTACAATGTGGAGTATACTAAATTGTATTATCACCAGCACCAACAGTGTGTACAAAATTTCAGCTTAATCAGATGAAGTGCTTGAAAAATGGATTAAAAATTTTGAAGTGGACATACAAAAGAAGTAAAATAAAAGCTTGTAATAAAAAGAACGAAGTCTCTGTCTGTGTTTTACAGTATTTTTTGCAATATTTTACCTTTTAAGGCTGTTTTCGCGCATCAATATTATTTTTTTTGTTTTTAGGTTCAGTTGCCTGGCTTCGCGCAACCGATCTCTTTGTCGCTGAACGTGTCGTCGACCGGTGCAGCCAGCCTGCAGGGCCATCCGACAAGTCTTATCGTTTCGATGCCGGCGACGACCGCCACCGCGACTGCCAATACGATTACGCAAGCGGCGGGCAATGGCCAGGCGGCCATGAGCTCGTTGGTCGGCTCGCCTGCCGTCGTGCTGGCCAGCGCAGCTAACACGCCGAGTTTGGGTAAGAGCATGAAATACAAGTAGTCTAGACTATTTTTGGTTTATGTGGGCTTTTACACCAGATATGTTTCGTGTTCTTTTTCAGGTTTTTGTAACCGTTTTTTCAAATGTTTTTTGCAATTTATCTTTTAACAAAAAATTTTTTTTACTAAAATTAGCGAATATTTCATTTAAAATGACAAATTTGACAGAAAGGCAATTTGGTCAATTATATTGTTAAAAGCAATAAAAATTATCGTTTGTCCTTTATTTCTTAATGTTGTAGATAAGGCATTTTTCTTCACAGGGCAGCTGCACGTATACTTATATTTTAAGGCCCTCAATTTGAATTAAAATATTTATTATACAAGGTTTCCAGAAGTCGCGCACCACCTTGAAGGTGGATGATCTACAGACCCCCAGGAATCCCAGAAAATTATTAAAAAAAATTAGCTTCATTACACAGTGTGTTTTGTTTGGTGTTTCAATTTAGGGCTTGGAATCGGGGACCAGGGTTTCACAAATTATATCACATATATTTGGTCACATGAGTTTTAATTTCGGTCTACTTGGTTCAACCGCTTAACAATGAATGCGTATTAAAGTAATTAATGACATAAAAAACTTCCACAATAAATTTTATTATATACAGCGCGTCTTTATAAGACACATACCGCCCCCTTTGAAAGGACATTTCAAAATAAATATACATTTCTAACTTTAACCATACTATACAATAATATACAATATTAAAAAAATAAAATAAAACGTTATTCCTCCATCGGCAGAACACAAATTTTTGAAAAGGAACGCTTAATCACACCTTGTTTGGTAAGGATGCTGGTAACTCTAGTTATCCCGTCGTTTCCAGAGTGCAACTCAACAATTCGGCCCAAACACCATTGCATGGGAGGAAGTTGATCCTCTTTTACGACTACCAACATGTCTATCTTCAACTTTAAGCTCGATTCCTTCCACTTAGACCTGGATTGCAGATCCGTAATATATTCTTTCGTCCATCTCTGCTAAAAGTGTTGCTGCAGCTGCTGAATTCTTTAAAAGTTGTTTAGTCGGTTAGTTGGTAAATCCACAATACTTCTTTCTGGAATAGAGCACAAGCTCCGTCCCACGAGAAAGTGAGCCGGAGTTAAGAGTATCAAATCTTTGGGGTCACAAGATTGGGGAGAAAGAGGACGGGAATTAAGTATTGCCTCAATTTGCACTAATAAAATATAGAACTCCTTAAACGTTAAGTGAGCATTATCAGTGACACGTTTTAAGTGAGCATTATCAGTGACACGTTTTAAGTGAAATTTCGTTAAACGTATCCCTGATTCCCATAATCCACCCATATGGGGTGAATACGAAGGGATAAACGGCTAACCGGCTAATTAGCTGAGCTAAGCTAGATTAACCGGTTAAGCCGCCAGCTAATTAGCTAAGCTAATTCAGTTAACCGGTTAAATTAGCTAAGCTGATCAGTTAGCTAGCTAATTAACTTAGCTAACTTTTTTGGCCGGCTTAACCGGCAAAATTATACAGCCCTAATATTTTTGTATACATTTTATATTTTTCGGTATTTTTGTATTTTTTATTTTGTTAAAAAATAAAACAACACATTTTTATGTACTCGTAGGTATAAAACTAGTATTTTATCAAAAGCAGTACACTCTAAAACTGCTTTTATATATTAGAATACAAAGATTTATATTATTCATTTTATAACGATCGACTGCGAAAATAATAATAATAATAAGGAGAATGTGGTGAATATATTTGATTTTTGTTATTTACTAAAATTTGTATAGAATTAAAGACCCAATAAAACCCACTTATAAAAACCAAAAAAGCCCAATGGGTTGGGTTTTATTTAAAAAACCCGTTTTTTCCAACCATGGTATCTTGGCTCTAACTTGGCGTATGTTGGCTTTCGGGTTTGTTGGTGTAGCCCCACAAAAGAAATCCAGTGGCGTAAAAACTTTTTGGCCATGTAATGATGATTCGTGGATCGCGTCAGGACTTGGTTGGGTTATTAACTTAATTATTCAAAACAATCTAAAGATTCACTTCACTATGGGTTTTTTTTTAGTTTGAAATTGGATCCCCCTTAATTTTTTTTCAAATTTATTAATATACATATTTATTAATGTACATAGGTTGTAAATGTAGATTCATTGTCTTTAATATTTACATTAACATTAAATCTTAGTATAACATTATGCGTTTTCGTCCAAAACAGCTCAGCTTGTGACTTCAGGGGTGAAGGGCGTGATAGGGCAGCAGCAGGGTATCCGGCCGGCAGGGCCGCAAACGGTGACATTGTCGCCTGGCGGCCAACCTTTTCAACTAATCACCCCGTTGCAGAGGGTGCGACCGCAGCAATCGTCGCCGATGACGGCAAACGCGCAAAACGTCACCGCCCGAACCATCCAACGAACTACCCCGATTACGATCAAGATGGCCACCACTAACGCAAGTCAGTTGCCAGATTTGAAATTTAACCTAGATAACTGACGGCGACTAAATAATTGCTAATTAATTTGTTTTGCAATTGAGATTCATGCATGCCTTAGTCATTTAAATTCATTATTTCTTTATTAACTGTGATATATGCATACATATAAATTATTGAAACTGACGAAGTATGTGTCCCATCAGATACGGTGGGTCAGGCTGATGGAGGCCAGCTGCAGAAGCAGGTCCATCTGCAGCCGTTCCAACAACAAATGTGCGTCACCCAGCCGGTGAGAAGGAGATCCAACGCAACGGAGCCGCAGTGATTATTAATTTAATTTAATTTTTAACTCGTTCGTTGTTTTTATGATTGTTATATCATTAGGCTGTTTTCGTTTTTAGTTTGCTTTTAGCTCTTCCACACACCACTGAGGCCGTTTTCTGATTTAACAATTTATTGTTTTAAGGTAACGAGGGTTTTTATTTTACATCCTAAAGGGTGTGCGATTTTTAAGCGAATGATATTTTAGACATTTTAATATAGAATATCAATAGGACCTGCAAAGAAAAAATGAGTTTTTCATTAAGGGTTTCCTAAATTTTATTGTGAATTACAATTCAGGGTGGTTGAAAATAAATAAAACCTTTGTAAAATCTTTATATAAAAAATACCAAAAAAATTTAAAAAAAAGCATTGGGATTGCAAGGATTAAAAAGTAATTTTTTGAGAAAAACAATAAGCATGAGCAAATTAAAAAAAATTTCATAACCCTTGTTTTTTATTGAAACACTGGGTAAATTCTTAAGAAAATTTAAAAGTTTTTGTTTTTAATTTATATTTTATATAGTTTTTATGTAATTTTATTATAAACACAGACTTAAGTTCAATCCCGACTGACAAATCAGTGTTATTTCCCAAATATTATGAAATTGATAAATTTATTTATTTTTTGAATTTACATTTTGAGTAAAAAACTGCGGCATTAAAACGCATAAATATTTAATTTTTAGTAATATTTTAGATTATTTGGTAATATAATATGTATATTATCTTCTTTGAAATGGGTTGGGTTGGTTTATTTTAGTTTTATCGTAACAATTACATGACATTGTAAAATTTTGACGTCAGTCGTGATCGAACATGGGTACCGCCTCGGGACTGTAGACACAGCGTATTTTTTACGCGCCTGGCCAAAACAAAACTGAACGGATGGAGACTTTGGATACTCCTGTGGATGGCACTCCCATAATGCGGCAATTTTGCTTGCTATGTTTTTTACGAAAAAAAAAAGATCCCAGAGCGTTGCAAAATTGGTTCTGAAAACGAAGCTGTGTAGGCCTTTTGATTCAAAAGTTTTGAATGAATTTTTTATATTCAATGTACTTTAATCCGCAATACCCGGTGCACCAAGTATCCTTCCATGTATGGTTATCTTTTTTATTTAAAGATCTACAAGGTCGATTAAATTAGAGTGTTAATTATTAATTGTTAATATTAAAATGACATTTAAAAATTAAAAAAAAACAGCGGTTTTCAAATTTTTCGAAAAAAAATAAAATCCTGTCAAAACCAAAAATTTTTAAAATTTCTTTATTCCTGTGAATTTTGGAAAAAAAGGTTTCACATGAAAACACACATTTATCCACATTTTTACACAATTAGTAATTTTTGCCTACTGGATTTTGAGTTACCACCACCACCTTTTGTTTTTCCTATGGCCATCAAATTAATTGTACATGATTAGGTCAAAAACAATCAAGGAATTCAACGACCTATCAAACTACGTACATTATGGCGGCCATTAAAAAAACAACATAAGGTGATGGTAACTAAAAATGTAGTAGTAACGAAATTGGATAAAAATGCAGTTTAATGTGTATTAGACTGGGCCAAAAAAATCAACTATTTTTTTTTTAAGTATATCGAAAATATGGTTTGGGGTTTTCCTCAGCAAGTTTTTGTCTCAGAACTCCCAAACCATTGAGTTTAACAAAATTGACTGGAAATCATTTTTTGAAGAAAATTGAATGCTCTACAAAAAAGGTTAAAGTAAAATTTTTCGTCAGATGAACCCTTTCCTTAAAATCATGCCTTAAAAATTGGTATAGTTTTACATTTTGATCTTTTAAATTAGAATTTTGTAATTAATGTAAAAATCAGTACCCATAAAAAAATATTCTTATGGAAAATTAAATGCTTTACAAAAAAAGCCTCTCAACATTTTTGGCTAAATTCACTCAATCAAAAGTTATTCAGGGTTAAAATTTCGTTTTGACTTCAAATTTAACCTTGAATAACTTTGATTGATTGAATTTAGCCAAAAATGTTAAGAGGCTTTTTTTGTAAAGCCCATAAGAATACTCATCGCTTTTTTTTCTGGGTACTGATTTTTACATGAAGTACAAAATTCCAATGTTAAAAGATCAAAATGTAAAACTATAACAATTTTTAAGGCATGGTTTTAAGGAAACGGTTCATCTAACAGAAAATTTCGTTTTAACCTTTTTTGTAGAGAATTCAATTTTCTTCAAAAAATATTGTTAAACTCAATGGTTGAGACAAAAACTTGCTGAAGAAAAAAAAATTAAAATTGGGGTGATAGACCTCTTAATATTAATATTATGGCCTCAAACTTTCACAATAATTTTTTTTTGTCACCCCAAACAATATTTTCGATATACTTTTCAAAAAAAAAAATAGTTGATTTTTTTGGCCCAGTCTAATGTGTTTTAAAAGCTTTTTAGTTTTTATATTATTTTGAGAACTGCTTGCTTTTTTTTCATTTATAAAATTCATGTTTATGGGCTTGTAATTACACAGCTTTTCTCTAATTTAAACGACGTATTTTTAAAAACGAGAAGTTTTTATAAATAATGACTTCTAAACCTACAAATAAAAATCTTATTTTCGACTCCCATGACACTATATGGTTTTCTTAGAATTGATCATAACCAATTTTAAATATTATTTTTTACTACTATAATTTTACTACCCATTCAACATGTATTAATTATGGATATGTTTTATTTGTATTACCTTATTGGCAGCTTTTTTAATTGGTATTAATAATAAATCTAATATTAATGATTTATTGAAATCTTATCTTTATTTAATTTAATTGTTTTTATAAATTTATAAGTTTATTTGCCTTCACTTTTTACAAAATAATTAATTGAAACGGCCGCAGTGGTTTTAATTATTTCACACATTACAATGATACTAGTCTATTTTTCACTATATACTGTTTATACAAAAACTTTAATTTTTTGTAACTAAATAAAAACTGCCGAGCATACGTGCAAAAATTGAGCGTTAGTTAATTTGTTGTATTGAGCGACGCGTATATATGGTTTAACTTAATCCATAACAGACAATCCCCTGCAGCATAACACATTAAAAATTAAGGGAATTAATCAAAGTGTTACTTTTACTTTTTAAATTTTTAATTCCTCAGGTATAATAGTAAATAATAAATGTTATTATTACATTATAATTTACATATAGTCTTGTAAACATTTCTGTATGAAGGAATCAAGTTGATTCAATCAACACACTAAAATGGGTTAAATTAACTTTTTGCTTAGCTTAACTCAAAATGTTATATTTTGTGTAGTTATAACTGGTTTAATATTTAGAGATTCCGAACTTAAAAATTGTATGGAAAAAGACAATGTGTAAGATATTGCGGATTAATGGTATATTATTATAAGAGAGATAATGCACATAATCTCGAGGATAATACTATACTTTATCTATTACAACTAGAAGATAATTAAAAAAGGGACATCTCAGATGGTTAACCTTCTACCAATTTAAAACCCGATTGGTCCAAATCACCGTGTATAATGAAATCAGCCAATGAATGTAACCTAACAACAGAAATAATAAGTTTATTATTCCCGTTGTCAGGCGGTGCGGATATAATGGTTATTATACGGAAAAACTAATAGTACCGTAAACACGGGCGACTTTGCACCCCGCGGGTGACTTTAGCCCTTTTATGAAAAAATTTTTCGCGCTCGATAAAATTAACATTTATAATTTGTTGGTCTAAACCTGTCAATTAAGCGATTCTATTGAGTTTATATTACAGGATAATCAGTGTTTTAAAAAAATAAATGGGATTTATTACACTTTAAAGTTGCATATATTGCATTAGTGCAAAACTCTTAAAAATACACGCGTTTCAATTTCTATATTATGCGCGATTCTTTGGAATGATGATCCTTGGTTAACTACAGGTCGATTTTTTATTGTTTTTATCGGTAATCCCTTGCAATTGCTATTCCTATGTCGCTGCTAACATATGTCTAATAAAAATAAAATAATGAGTTAATTTTATACGGAAAATACACTGTGAGACAAAGTAACCCGCAACCAGGGGGTAACTTTGCACACACAGTTTTTAATTTTTATTTTTGAAACTCAGCCCTATGTAAGATTATAACATAGTTATTATGAAAGAGCAACTCAAGACTCAATACAATATTTAATGTTTATGATTGTTAAAACTACAAAAATGTTAAGATTAAGTTTGAAAGTGAACTAAAGCCACCCGTGTTTACGGTATGCATTAGAAGTAGATAAAGTACGTTTAATATGATACTTGGTTAAATACTACGATTATATGGAAGAAATGGTCACCCTCTAAAATAATAAAAACAAAAATAGTTTGAATATTGCTACTTAATCCTGGGACATCCTGTATATCTCAAACATCATTTAAATATTTCAATTTTCAAGTTGAAACACTCTTAATGAAAAACCTGTTTTGACTATATGAAAGTCTAATGAATAGGCCTAGATGTCTGTTATGTATTTAGTTATACAGGGTTTACCAACAGCGACTTCTTTTTTGGTTTCAAAATAAAACAAACAATTTGAATGAAAATGCTGTGAATCTTTATTGATATATAAAGTGGAAGGTTTGCCATTTATAAATGAAAAATAATATCATTCAAATGCCCACCCCCAGTACGCCTACATACATCGATTCTTTTGTTAAAATTTGTAATCACATTTTGGCATAACTGAGGCTCTATCTCACGAATGGCACGTTCAATGTTGGCTTTTAACGCCTCAATGGTTAGCGGATTATCCGCATAGACTTGATCTTTCACATAGCCCCACAAGAAATAGTCCAGTGGTGTTAAATCACAGGATCTAGGCGGCCAATTTAATGCAAAGTTACGCGAAATTACTCGATCTGGAAATTTGGTTTGCAATAAATCCGTTATTTGACGAACGTAATGGTCGGCCGGCTTCAATTCTTGAACCAACTGTACCTTATAAGGTTTTAGAAATAAATCCTTACGCAAAATTCGCCATTTGGTCATCGTCGATAAGCCCAATTGTTGAGAAGGCCGCGGAATGGATAGATTTGGATCTTCTTCAACACTTTCACTCACAGCAGCGATATTTTCAGCTGAACGACCCGGACGAACATGAATTGGAGTTGGTATGTTGTTGGTTGAACCAGTAGATTTAAATTTATCCACCAAATTCCTAATAGCGTTCTCAGATGGCCGACCATGACGGCCAAACATATCACGAATTTTACGATATGTGGTTTTCACCCAACGACCATTCTCGTTATAGATTTCGATGATTTTAATACGATTTTCGATTGAAATTAAAGGCATTTTTACAAATGGCAAAGCTTTTACTGACATATATCAAAAAAGTAATTGTCAAAGCCGTCATCTTATCAAAATTTGCCCCTATTGAAAAAAGAAGTCGCCGATGGTAAACCCTGTATATGCTGTTATATTTTTAAGTAATCAATATTCTTTAGACATATCCCAGTCTTCTTTATTTAATATTGTTGGCAATTTTGCAAAAAATAATTAATTTAACTAAGAACATTGAAAAATAATAATAAACTGATTTTATAGTTGCCAACTACAATGCAATAATTTTACTTAAATTAATTTAATTTATAAAAAAAATAGTTAATAGTTTAAAAATCAATAAAGGGATTATATTTGATCTCATAATATTGCATAATGTTTGCAAAATTGTTCCTAATACACCACAGAAAAAAATAGAAAATAACCATTTTTCTTCATTAACTTTTTTACAGGAGTTATATTGTATAAAAACATTTTTGAAACACGAATTATTGTACTGCGTCTGCAAAAAGTTATCAAGAAAAATATAAATAATATATATTGGTGCCAAATCGGACCAAATATTTTTAAAATGCTATACCTACCCCCTTTTTAATGTTCAGTGGCTTGTAATGGTGTTAACTGTGTGTTTAAAATAAGTATATGTGTAAGACAAACAAAAAAAGCACATGCCTTGGTATTGTAATTATTAATTATAATTATTAATTATAATACTATAGTACTAGTGATGTGCCATAATAGACCAGTGCAGAAGCCTTTAAAAATGGTAAAAAGAGAAAAAAATAACAGTAGGATGAAACCCATTGGAAAAGGAGGGGAATATAATAAAAATTAAAGGAAAAATAAATTACGGGCGATCTGAGTTCGGGAAGTGGGAGGGGGGGGTTTAAGGGTAAAACATGGTTTATCTAGATTTCCGGCAAAACTACAAGTCCTATGGAAAAAAGTTAAATGGCAAAGTTGTAGGTAATAAAAGGATCTACAACTTTTGTAATTACAATTTTTTTACATAACCTCAAAATTTATGTGAAAAATTCAAAAAACCAAGTTTTTGGTTTTTTATTTTTATCTTTTTCAAAAAAAAAAAAATTTTCCACGAAATTTGGTGAAAACTTACCTTTTTATGTCCCAAATACACTGTAATTTATTTGATTTGAAATATTTATTATTTCGCCTTATTTTGACTTAATATCAAAAAAGCACCCTAATTTTCAATCGAAAATTCTCGCGTCAAAATATCAGCTTTTTTCAAAAAGTCGGTGTGCTTTTTGTTCGATGAACTCTCTACTTTCTGATGGTGTAAAAAAAATATACATTACTATGGTAAATGTTCTCAGAAAATACAAAAAATATTATAATGAATAACGTAATCAGAATGAAGTATCTAAATTCAATAGTATGATTTACATGTATTTTTATATTTTATGAGATTTTCTGACATAAATGTTATTAGAATTTAATAAATAAACTTTTTAACTAAAAAAAATTGCAACAATCACATTTTTTTGATGAAATTGTACATAATGATTAAAATAAATTTTCGAATTCGAGTTTTTTTCGTTATTCATTATAATATTTTTATTATTTTCTGAGAACATTTACCATAGTAATGTATATTTTTTTTACACCATCAAAAAGTAGAGATTTCAACGAACAAAAAGCACACCGACTTTTTGAAAAAAGCTGATATTTTGACGCGAGAATTTTCGATTGAAAATTAGGGTGCTCTTTTGATATTAAGTCAAAATAAGGCGAAATAATAAATATTTCAAATCAAATAAATTACAGTGTATTTGGGACATAAAAAGATAAGTTTTCACCAAATTTCGTGGAAAAAAATTTTTTTTTTTGAAAAAGATAAAAATAAAAAACCAAAAACTTGGTTTTTTGAATTTTTCACATAAATTTTGAGGTTATGTAAAAAAATTGTAATTACAAAAGTTGTAGATCCTTTTATTACCTACAACTTTGCCATTTAACTTTTTTCCATAGGACTTGTAGTTTTGCCGGAAATCGAGATAAACCATTTTTTACCCTTAAAACCCCCCCACCTCCCACTTCCCGAACTCAGATCGCCCGTAATTTATTTTTCCTTTAATTTTTATTATATTCCCCTCCTTTTCCAATGGGTTTCATCCTACTGTTATTTTTTTTGGTTTCAAAAATTATCGACCCTGGTCTATAAATCCGTGAATATTCAGTAAAAATATAAATAAAATGAGCGTTTTGAACAGACTTTATGCTTCATACAGTTTTAATACCACTTTTTTTAGACAATGGGTTAAAATATTAATCCAAATTTTGTTCTTTTAACAATCAGGCACATCACTAATTAGTACCCATTTTTAATAATTATTGTATTATTATTATTGGATTTGACTTTATTAATGATTTATTTTCTTTGGCCACTTTGTTTTTAAAGCAGTACAAATTTCAAACAATAAGCAATTCGTGTATAACTAAGCAGTTTATAGTTTTAAAACAATTACACCCCGGCAACAAGATACTTTTTTAATATAATTTGGTTGAATTTTTTTAAATAAAAATTCAAATAATTGTATGATATTGCACCGCTAGAGGGACTTTATAAAAAAATAACTTTGATAAACTAAACATGAACATTTTGAAAAAATACAACCCTTTATATTTTAAGATGAATATTTATCTTATTAATACTAAATATAAATGTACTGTTGCCTGGTGTCATTGAAATTTGTTGTGTTGTATAATAAAAAATGTTAATTTTAATTTATTTTTATTATTAAACAAGATTGGTGTTTTTTGGCGCAGTATTCTATTTTAAGTTTAATGGGGCTCCACAAAGAAAGATTATTTATAGAAAATTAAGTTGTATGTACATTTTTTAAATCAATTATTAAATACAAGGGATTGGGTTATGAGCCTATTCTTAAGTGTTTGTAAACGAATAAAATCGGCGTAATAAAAATACATAATACTATTTTTGAATGTAAACATGTTTAACATGATTAACTATTAAATTGGGCATATAGCGCTTCAATTTATTGTTTTAGTTGAACTTAGTGATTAAGTTTGTTGGCATTGTGCGCATCACACTTATAGTTACGTTATAATATTTATATACCTTTTGTAATCTAATTCATCATAATGTAATTAATTTGTAAATTATTGTATATTGATCAAAATACCATATTTTTATTTTGATGCCACTTTTATGTATTAAAAACGAAACTTGTATTTTTATTATTTAATACTGCATCATAAAACATCTACTGTGTTACATATATTGATTGGCAATATTTTTTAATACATAAAATTCATTAGGAGTGTTTTTTCTGGTTTTGTATCTAAAATTGTAATTCAATTTTTACATAATTTATACTCTTTGTACAGCGTTTTTAATGAGGTTTTTTGTTACAAAATAATTGAATTTTGCAATTTAAGATATAAAACTTGTATACATTGTATATTTTGGAACCTGTATGATAAATACCTGTAAATACTTTTTTTGTATTAATTATTTAAGTTATTATTTATATAATATTACCTATGAGTCTATTTTTTTTTACTCATATTACTAAGTGGTTGTGTATATTGTCATTTCTTATTTATTTCTTTTTTTGCTCATTCTTCAATTATTTTTTTATAATTTGTCTTAAATATAATTACTTACTAATTGTGCCAAATAATATCTAAAAGGCAAAAAAACAAATTGTTAAAAAGTAAATTTTATTAGAGTTATTAAATCTTTTTAAATATTAATCATTTTTTAATTTAAAGCCTTTACAGCTGAAACAATTAATTCATTAATGTATTTGGATCTTTTTTTACTTTTTTGTATACAGTCAAATAACTGGCCTTCATTCAAAGCAGTACCTCCAGGTTTATGGACACAGCAGACTTCATCTGCATTTAGAACTATTGTAACCAAACCACTGCACAAGTTTTCCTCTTCAACTGTTGGGTCCGTCAAAATATATTTACTAAAAAAGTACAATAAATACCAAGGTAAAAGTCTTATAATACTCTTACTCATCAAAAATAATATATGTTGTGGAAACTGGAGTTGAATAAATTTTTAAGGGATGCCTTTCTTCAATATTTACTAATTTATTATCTAATGCAGCATCATAGTCTACTGTGGGTAGTGTAACTAAAACAAAAACACAAAAAATGGATATATTTTTGTTAAAATATGAAACCAAATTGATTTTGTTTTGATTTTTAGCAATTTAACATTATCATTAAATAATAAAAATTAAAGTTGTCCCACAGAGGGACTTTAATCGCAGAATAAATGAAAAAATAAAAATGGCAAAAAAATGTTTTTTTTTTCGAAAAACTAAATTAATTTATAGAAGGTTATGAAGAAAAAGAAACCATCAATTTTAAACGTCATGACGTTTTTTATAAAAATATTTTTTTTCTAGTTGAGTAAAATTTTTTTAGACAAATCAAAAGACGTCGATGCCCAAATCCATTCTAAGCACAAGAAAAAAGTACTACACTGCAGTCAAACGCATCTTAAAACGGCTCTCGGTCATCATTGTTCGGAACCAAACGCAGTATGTTTTGGACAGCTCGGCGCGTTCTGTGTTCACGGCCATTTCAAGCGGATGGACGGGACAAATCACAAAACTGTTTTTATAAAAAAAATTGTAGCTAATTTATTATATATTATTTTTGCATCAAAATTGTCAGATATATTCTTATATTATTAGGGTATACATTAAATTAAAAAAATCGCAAAAAATATTTTATAAAAGTAGAGATAATTTCAATAATTGACAGGGATGGACGGGACAAGATAAATCTTTTTTTTGTCCCGTCCACACCTTTCAATTATTAAAATTATATCTACTTTCATAAAATATTTCTTGAGTTTTTTTTATCTAATGTATAACCTAATAAAAGAAGAATATTTTTGACAATTTTGATGCCAAAATATTATATAATAAATAATCTACAATTTTTTTTATAAAAACAGTTTTATAATTCGTGCGTTTCGCGCGCTTGAAATGGCCGTTCATTCATATACACTAATCGTTTAAAACGTGTTCTCAGCAAAAATTGTTTATATTAACAATACTACATAGTATTTTTATGCACAAAGACTGATTCGATTTGAATGATTTCATTAAGTGTTATTTTCAGTTAGTAGTAAACTGGTTTACTAATGTGATTCAGATCCAATGATACGATTCAAAAGAGTGACCCGGAACGCCCATTACTATGTACAAGTACAAAGTAAATCCTGACCATTTTGCCAATTATTCTTGACCAACTAACATTAACATTTTAAAAAATAATACAAAAATTGTAATATAAATTATAAATTTTCCCACTGAGCAAAAAAAACATTGCTGCAATGTTAACGCAATGTTGCTTTGTAATCTGTAATGTTGCATTAACCTCTCTGCCCACACTAGTGTATTTTTTCCATACTCCCCCAAAATCAACAACATATCAACTTGCACATTAAAATTATTTTATGTTTAATTGCACAAAAAAACTTTAATCGTCAAAATTCTCGAATAACTTAGATTAAAATAACGCGTTTCCATGGAAATAAACAACAACGTGCCGCTTAATAGACCTGATAAAAATATTGAAATTATTTTTTAGTATTTTAACATAATAAATCATAACTTCGTAACCAAAAGAGCAAATTAATTTTTTTTTGGCACACATACATAGTTTTTTACGTATATTCTAATTTTATAAAAAAAGTACATCGTTTCATTGAAAAATCCAAAGTTACAACCCGCCCCTCAAAATGGGGTGGGGGGTAAATTTAAAAAATATGTCTAAATATTTCCCCCCATGTCCCTATTACTTCCTTAAAATTTCAGAAAAAAAATATTGAACCGTTTTTAAGATATTGCATTGTAACACTTTAAAAAACTCACCCGGTATACAAAACTTCTATTAACTTAATTATCCGCAACTATTTTTTTGGAAAAAGCGTATTATGATTACCATGCAGGTTTTTATTACGCAGAATACTTCAGAATAGTTAACTTTTGTCCATATGTGAAAACCGATTTGGTAAATTTTGTTTACATAGTTTTCCACAAAATGATTTTGTACTTATAAAAATGTGTAAATGAAAAAAAATGTCTTGAGTTGATTATACAGTGCGCATGTTAAAAGTCCCGTTTACGTTACGTTATCTTTTGAACGAAAAAAGGTATCGATATCGAACAAAACCAATTGTCAAGGATACTAAGTATACTACTTTTTGACGTCAAATTGATAGGTGCCCACATTTAAGGGGACTGTATCAACTTAAAAAATTCAATTGGAAAGGAAAGCTTGTGATACCTAATTTGAAAGGCATTTCGATTCTCCATTCAACGCATATCCAAAATCTAAAATCTGTTCAATGGATGCTAAGATATTAAACAAATAAAATTTATTATCAAATCAAATTTTTGTTTTCAAGGTCTTAAGGTTTTCATTTATTAAGTACAATAATTTCCAATTAGTCATCAAATTAGATGTTCAAAATGCACCCCTTGGACATTTTTGTACAAAAACATTCCATTTCTAATTTTAGTTTTCACATTTGCAAACCTTTCTTGTGTTATATTCCTACATTCAAGTATAATCCGTTGATCATTAATTGATTCCGGTTCGGTGATGTAGACCCACAACAAAAAATCAAGTGGCGTTAAATCAGGAGACCAAGCCGGCCATTCGGTAGGACCACGCCTACCAATCCACCTATTTGGATAAGTCTTATCAAGCCAATGTCCCTAAAATAATGTGAGGTCGATCTATCTTGTTGAAATATTACTTCCATGTCAAATTCGTTAGGATTACTTGGACTATATCATTGAATGAATTTGTGTTTGAAGCATGTTTAAGTACAACTTGGCTGTTTAATTTTCTTCCAAAAGATGGGTCCTACAATATGGTTTCCCAGTTGTCTCGCCCATACATCTATTACATCTTGCTGATTTACAGTGCCTTTTAGGAAAAAATGTGCATTTATCACCAAAACAAATTAATTGCAAGTTCATGGGATTTTGTATTATGCCCTCACATATAACTTCACAAAATTGTACTCTGCGATCGGGGTCATCTTAGTTTTAGGAATATTTTTGATTTATAGGAATTTGTTAGGTATGTTCTAAATATTTTCTAACAGTTGATTTTGCTATATCACCATCCCCTGCAATTGTTGTGGATTATTGACGTCGGAACCGACTATTTCTTTGTTTGTCTTCTAAGATTGATTTTTTACCCGATCCTTTCTGCCTACTCACTCGTCCAGTTGTTCGAAATTTAGTCAGTAACTCCCGTAGATATTTTCTGCAAATAGGGTTGTCTGGGTACATTTCATTAAATACCCTCAAAAGATAACAGGGGGGAGTTTTAACGTGCGCACTGTATAGCTCATTTTCATTGAAAACAAATGAACCCGATCGCCCCTCCCCATTGTAAGCGGGTTGCCATAGGCTAGTGTGTATTTCAAGAGTTTTAAAATAAATTAATTTCTTTTTTTTTAAATTATTAAAGTTATTATGTCCTACACAGGACTTTCAAACCATTTAAAACTTTCAAACCATTTAAATCTGCCGGAACTGACGGAATCATACCAGCCATGTTACAACAGGGCCAAGACCTGCTGCTACCAAGACTGTGCAAAATCCTAAGAGCCAGCCTAGCTCTCAATCACATACCGGAAGGATGGAGAGAGGCACTGGTGGTTTTTATACCAAAACCAGCAAAAGCCTCCTATGACAAACCAAAATCCTTTCGACCAATTTGCCTAACATCATTTCTTCTGAAAACAGAGGAAAAACTGATAGAGCAACATATACGGGAAGAAGTACTGCACAGAAGGCCTCTACACCGAAATCAATTTGCCTACCAAACAGGCAAGTCTTGCGAATCCGCCATCCATGAGATAACCCAAAGGGCTGAGCAATCTTTAGACAACAAAGAAGTGGCCCTTGGGGCATTCCTGGATATCGAAGGAGCGTTTGACAACACGTCATATGACTCAATAAATCGATCAGTAAGAGATCGCAACATAGAACCTCTGGTTGGCAAATGGATCAAACAGATGCTGGCTCAACGACGAGCCAGAACCACTCTTAACAACACAACTGTTAGAGCTAAAGTGTGCAGAGGGACACCACAAGGGGGGGTGCTATCACCCCTGCTATGGAACCTCGTATCGGACAGTTTACTGACACGATTGGAAAACAAAGAAATATACGCAATAGGATATGCGGACGACATTGTACTCCTTATCAGAGGCAGCAACACAGCCCATGTGTTTACCAAAATGCAAAGGGCGCTAAACGCTGTCGAAAACTGGTGCAATGAGGAGGGACTTCGGGTAAATCCCACAAAAACTTCCCTTATCGCCTTTTCTCGCAAAAGAAAGTTAGAACCCGTGAAAAATCTAATCTTCTACGGGGAAACGCTGCCCTTGAAAAACGAGGTTAAATATCTAGGAGTTACACTGGATAAAAAACTCACCTATCGGATGCATATAGAGAACATAACAAATAGGGCCATAAAAACCTTCATGACCTGTAAAAGAACATTTGGTAAATCTTGGGGACTGTCACCAGGCATGGTACAATGGGTGTACACAGCTATGGTCAGACCCATAATTACCTACGCGGCGCTAATATGGTGGCACGCAACAAAAACAAGGACTGTAAAACAGACACTCAGCAGAATCCAAAGACTGGCGTGCTTGGGAATAACTGGTGCAATGACAACTACACCGACCGCAGCCATGGAAAACATACTAGGACTCCCCCCTCTACACATTCAGATTAAAGCTGAAGCGTTAGCGGGAGCCCAAAGACTAATCTCAAATAAGGCCGAAGTTATTTCCACCATCAGGCATAATGCCATATTTGAAGAGCTAGAAAATACTGGCAGTCTAGCCATTAGAACAGACAAAGCCAAGGTCAAACACTTCAATAAAGCTTTTATCTCAAAAAGGATAAAGGCTGAGGAGATAAACAACCAAATCGCCCGACTCAGGCAAGAAGAAAACCTAATCTGGTACGTAGAACACAAGCGGTCAAAGACCGGTGTTTCTGCGGGCATAAAAGAGGTATCTCAACAGGGCAGTCAAGAAATACTAAACCTGGGAAAAGAGATAACCGATCTTCAAGCGGG